TCACCTGCGAGGGAAAGGGACATCAGGGACAGGGCTGGGGACAGCAGGGACAGGGCTGGGGACAGCAGGGACAAGGCTGGGGACAGCAGGGACAGTCAGCAGGGCTGGGGACAGCCGGGACAGCCAGCGGGGCTGGGGACAGCGGAAGAACCAGCCAGCGGGGCTGGGGACAACAGCAGGAACCCCACAGATTCAGCCCCAAAGAGGCGGCCCTACAGAAGAACCCCAGAGGAATTCCACAGATTCCCAACCCCACAGAAGAACCCCATAGATCCAGCTCCTTAGAGGAACCCCACAGAGGAATCTCACAGAGCCAGCCCCACAGAAGAATTCCACAGATCCAGCCCCACAGAGGCAGCCCCACAGAGGAACCCCAGAGACCCAGCCCCACAGAAGAATTCCACAGATCCAGCCCCAAAAGGGCAGCCCTACAGAAGAACCCCAGAGGAATCTCACAGAGCCAGCCCCACAGAAGAACCCCACAGAGGCAGCCCCACACATCCAGCCCCAAAGAAGAACCCCATAGATGAACCCCACAGATCCAGCCCCACAGAGGAACCCCACAGCTCCAGCCCCACAGCTCCAGCCCCACAGACCTTTCCCAGGCAGGAGAGCTGCGACTGCCAGAAGCGGTGCCGCCGGGACGTGGGGAACAGGGAGTTGGCGGGGCCGGAGGAGGCGATGAGGATCAGGGGGGATCCGGGCAGTTTGCTCTGCAAGGTCCAACAGGAGCCTGTCAGGGACAGCAGCGCCCCCAGGAAGGGCCTCCCTGCCCCACAGGGAAGGATCTTGCACAGCTCTTTCATTGTCTTCCCAAGCCAAAGCTCCCTCGGGATACCCAGGAGAAATTCTCCAGCAGAAGGGACTCTCCTTTCTGAGGGACAGCTCTGGGCTCTGCTCCCTGGGACAGGGACAGGACCAGGGAATGGCTGGAGCTGAACCAGGGTGGGATCAGGGTGGGATTTGGGAAAGGTTCTGTCCCCAGAGGGTGCTGGGCACCGCCCAGGGAATGGGCACAGCCCTGAGGCTGCTGGAGCTCCAGGAGCCTTTGGATTTTGGGGTGTCTGTGCAGGGTCCCAGGGATGCCCAGGGTGGATTTTGGGGTGTCTGTTCAGGGCTCCCAGGGGGGGATTCTGGGGTGTCTGTGCAAGGATATCTGGACTGATGATCCTGCTGTGTCCCTTCCATTCAGGTGTAAATCAGGGGCAGAGGAGCCCAGGGAGAGGACAGAGGCAGAGCATGGGGAGACTGAAGCTGCCACGGGACCCCCACACCCCCCAGGGCACTCACTGGTTTATTATGGGACAGGACACCCACAGCTGGGTCCCAGGGTCTCTTGAGCAGCAGGGACAGCGCCTCAGCCCCTGCTGCTCCCGTCTTGGCCGTGGAGGAGAGCAGCATCCTGTCTATCAGTGCAGGGATCTGCAAGCAGAGACCAGGGGGAGTGAGAAAACACACCCAAACCACGGGACAACAACTCCAGCCTCTGCCAGCTGTGCCAGCCAGAGCTGCTCCTGCTTTTATCACCTTTCCCTTGAGGGTCTGCAGGGCATCCAGGTATGCAGCCAGCACGGGCAGGCTCAGGGTCTCCACCAGCGTGGTGTGGAGCCACTGGATGAGCTTGGTGTCCCAGTTGACGCTGGCCAGGGCCTGGCGCACCCTGCGGGCGCATTTATCCACAGCAATCCTCCTCAGCACGGGCTCGTTGCAGGCCTGCAAGCAGGAATTCCCAAAAAACAGCTCAGGGGAAGGAGGATGGAGCATGGCACTGCAGCCCCATCCCCAGGGAAAGGTCAGGGTGGCTGCCCAAACATCTGGAGCAAGGACAACATCTGTGTGAGGAGGAGCAGGCTGAGGGGAGCCCTCAGAGCAATCCAGAACTCCCAAAGGGAAACTCTGATCCCTGGGACAGGGACAGGACCAGGGAATGGCTGGAGCTGGAGGCTCAGGGTGGATTTTGGGAAAGGTTCTGTCCCCAGAGGGTGCTGGGCACTGCCCAGGGAATGGGCACAGCCCCGAGGCTGCCGGAGCTCCAGGAGCCTTTGGATTCTGGGGTGTCTGTGCCGGGCTGCCAGGGTGGGATATTGGGGTGTCTGTGCAGGGCTCCCCAGAGCTCCAGGAGCCTTTGGATTCTGGGGTGTCTGTGCCGGGCTCCCAGGGGTTGCACTGATGATCCCAGCGGGTCCCTCCCAGCCCAGGACATTCAATGGTCCCACAAACCCCACAAAGCCCAGAGCTGCCTGCTCCTCAAGGCCACCCCAGGGCCCCATTCCCACGCTGACCAGCCCAGGTTCAGTGGCAAGGGCAGAGCCCAGCCCCTCTCACCCCCTCGTTGGCCAGGCGGGCCAGCCTGTCCGACTGCAGCGCTTTGTGGATCTTGTTGAACAGTTTGTTCTGGGCCATGGTCCAGCCCGTCCTGCGGGGACAGACACAGCGGGGTCACCCACAAACCCACCAAAGCATTCCTGCTTCCGCTGCCCTGGAACTGCCACCCCCCCGTTGATGTGCTCCTCCCAACCTGGATTCCCATTCCCTGGAATTCTCAGCTTGGATCCCCTTTCTCTGGAATTCCCAGCCCAGATTCCCTGGCACACCCAGCCCAGATTCCCTGCCATTCCCACCTGTTGACGTGCTCCTGCCAGCCCATATTCCCTGCCGTTTCCTGCCATTCCCAGCCTAGATTCCATGGCATTTCCAGCCTGGATTCCCTGTTGTTCCCTGCCATTTCCAGCCTGGATTCCCTGCTGTTTCCTGCCATTTCCAATCTGGATTCCATGGCATTCCTGGCCCACATTCCCATTCCAACCCATACTCCCATTCCCACATCATCTGCCATTTCCAGCCCACATTCCCAATCCCACCCCATATTCCATGGCATTCCCAGCCCATATTCCCATTCCCAGCACATATTCCCACCTGTTGATGTATTCCTCCCAGCCCATATTCCCAGGCATTCCCAGCCCCTATTCCCATTCCCACATCCCGACCTGTTGACGTGCTCCTCCCAGCCCCTATTCCCATTCCCAGCCCCTATTTCCACCTGTTGACGTGCTCCTCCCAGACCCTATTCCCATTCCCAGTCTCTATTCCATGGCATTCCCAGCCCCAATTCCATGGCATTCCCAGCCCCTATTCCCATTCCCAGCACCCATTCCCATTCCCAGCTCCTATTCCCATCCCCAGCTCCTATTCCCATCCCCAGATCCCCACCTGTTGACGTGCTCCTCCCAGCCCCTATTCCATGGCATTCCCAGCCCCTATTCCCATTCCCAGCCCCATTCCCATTCCCAGCTCCTATTCCCATTCCCACGTCCCCACCTGTTGACGTGCTCCTCCCAGCCCCATTCCCATCCCCAGCCCACATTCCCATTCCCAGCCCACATTCCCATTCCCACGTCCCCACCTGTTGACGTGCTCCTCCCAGCCCTATTCCCATTCCCAGCCCCTATTCCCATTCCCAGCCCCATTCCCATCCCCAGATCCCCACCTGTTGACGTGCTCCTCCCAGTCGTCGGGCGGCGGCGGCGCGTCGGCGTCGGTGCGGGCGAACATGACGTGCCGCTCGCACTCGTTCATCACGCTCCGAGCCTTCTGGTTGTCGTACAGCGGCACTGGCGTCGGCGTCACCGTCTCCACGTCGATGGGGACATCGGCCTCCCTGCTGCCGCCCACACGGGGGTCAGGGCAAGGATGGGGCACCCGGGGGCATCCAGGGGGTTTGGGGGGTCCCAGGGGTTGGGCAGCGCTCCCAGGGTGGGACTGACCCAGGGATGTTGGTATTTATGGGCAACCAACTGGCAACCAAACCAAGCACTTTGGATACCCCAAAGTGAGACCTCTGGGCTCCCAAATCAAACCTATCCTGGACCCCCAAACCCATCTCCCTGAACCCCAGGGAGGAACGTTGGTTTGCTTGCACCAAACCAAGTATCCTGGACCATCAAACCTAGAGCCCCAAAACAAACCCCTGGAGTCCCAAACTCAGACTGCTGTAGTCCACAAATGAGGGCCCCTGGACCCCCAAACCATGGTGCCTGGACAGCCCAAACTGAGACCTCTGGACCCCTAAACCGATCTCCCTGAAGCACCAAACCAAGCATCCTGAACCATCAAACCTAGAGCCCCAAACCTAGAGCCCTGGAGCCCCAAAACTGAGACTGCTGGAGCCCACAAATGAGGGCCCCTGGAACCCCAAACCATGGTGCCCGAACACCCCAGACTGAGACCTCTGGGCCTCCAAATCAAACCTATCCTGGACCCCCAAACCCATCTCCCTGACGCCCCAAACCAAGCACCCTGGACCATCAAACCTAGAGCCCCAAAACTGAGCCCCTGGAGCCCACAAATAACGGCCCCTGGAACCCCAAACCATGGCCACTGGCCGCCACAAACTGAGACCTCTGGACACCCCAAACCGAGACTCCTCACTGCCCCCCTCGCCCATCAGGACCCCACCCCAGACCATCAGGACCCCCATTTTTCCCCTCACAATTCCCCCACTCGCCCTTATGACCAACCCCAGCCCACAGGACCTTCCAGCTCCTCCCTCACAGCCCCGCCCTTCCCCACCCCTCAGGACCCCTGCAGACCCCAAACGGCTCCCCCAGACCCACAGGACCCGCTCCTTTCCCCTCAAAGCCCCTTAGGCCTACAGGACACCCCTCAACTTCCCCCTCAGCCTTACAAGACCCCCTCCTTTCCCCTCACAGCCCCCCTCCAGTTCCCCTCTCCCGACCCCCTCCCGTCCCCTCCGCCGCCCGGTCTCTCACGGGGCGCTGCCGAGGTGCCTCCGCGGGGTGAGGAAGAGGAGCCGTGCGGGCCGGGCGGCGCTGGCGTCGGGGTGCGCGCTCCAGGGCTTGGCGTAGCTGTGGTCGAGGCACACCAGGTCCAGCTCCCGCTCGTGCGCCGACAGCTGCAGCAGCAGCGACGTGCCCATCCTGCGGGCCGACCACTGCAGCTCGCGCTCCCGGTCGCGATCGCGGTCCCCGGCGCGCTGCGACATGGCGGGAGCCCCGCCCCCTGCGCCCGCCCCTCTCGACAGCGCCGCCGCCGCCGCCCGCCCCTCAGCGCGCGTGCGCGGGGCGCGCTCCCGCCCCTCCTCAGCGCGCCTGCGCCGGGCGCGCTCCCGTCTCTCGGTGTGCGTGCGTGGGGCGCGCTGCCGCGCGGACCGGGGAATGTCCCCGTGGGAAGGGACCCACGGGACCAGGGAGTGTCCCTGGGATGTCCCCATTAATGTCCCCTTGGGAAAGGACACTCCAGGCTCATCCAGCCTCCCGCACAGGACACTGCGCGCTCCCGCGGGGTGTCACGGGGCGTCCCGCGTGGGGACGCCTCGGGGACGCGGTTACCGGTGACAGCCCCCGCGCTGCCACCCGCCGTTGGCGCTCGGACACGGCGAGCCAACCGCCGCGCTGCTGGCCAGCGGGCTGGTGGCACCTGGGGCTGGCACTGCGGTGGCAGCCCCTCGGTGACACACCTGCCGCCGGTGCCCGAACCTCGGGGGTGGCACTGCGGTGGCACCCCTGGTGACAAACCTGCAGCCGGTGACAGCATCGCGGGGTTGGCACACTGGTGTCGCCCCCTGGTGACAAACCTGCAGTCATTACCGGTGACAATTACCGGTGACAGCGCCTCGGGGGTGGCACTGCGGTGGCACCCCTTTGGTGACAAACCTGCAGCCATCACCGGTGACAGCGCCTCGGGGGTGTCCCGTTGGTGGCACCCCCTCGGTGGCAGCTCTGTCCCCGGTGCCAGCGCTCCGTGGCCATGCTGCGCTGCCACGTGGTCGCCGTCCACATTCCCGGGGCCACCGGCTTCGGTCCCGGTGTCCTGCTGTCCGTCTGCTTCCGAGGTACGGCGGGGTTGGGGACACTGCGGGGTGTGGGACACGCCATGGCACAGGGTGGCATGTGGCCAGTGCCCCATGTCCCCATCCTGAGGTGCCACCACCCCTCCTGTCCCTCACAGGCGTCCCCAGGAGAACCCGGGTGGTGCCCGAGGAGCGCAGCCTCACCTGGAATGAGGTGAGGTGCCCCCGGGGTGGCCCGTGGTGGCACAGGGACATGGGGTCACCCCCCTGAGCCGTGTCACCCCCCTCAGGAGCTGGTGTGGCCGCTGGACACGTGTCCCCTGAGAGCCACGGACACGCTGGGGCTGCGCCTGTGGCGTGGGGACTGCCTGCTGCCCCGGGAGTGAGTGCCAGCCCTGGGGGGACACCCCTTCAGCAGGGCCACCCCCTCACCAGGGCCACCCTCACCGTGTCCCCCCTCCCGCAGGGACCTGGGTGCCACCACGGTGTCACTGAGCGAGCTGGTGGCCAGCCCCAGGCTGCCGATGGCCGTCAGGGACATCCCGCTGCTGGACCACCGGGAGCGGCCCACGGGGGTGAGCGCAGCTCCACAGCACCCCACAGCACCCCGGGGTGGCACTGTCTCCGTGTCACTGTCCCCTTGCAGTGCACCGTCACCCTCCGCTGCTACCACGACCCGCACGGCGAGCCCGGGGACGTCCCTGTCACCGCCGGGCACGGCCAGGTGGCCCTGGAGCCACCGGAGGTGGCACCTGCGGACAGGAAAGAGGATTTCCAGGTAGGGCACCCACGGGCACAGGGTGGCAGCCAAGGGGGCGATGTCCCCTCGCGGTGACACGTCGGTGCCGCCCCGCAGGTGCGGGTGAGGGTCATCAAGGGCCGCCAGCTGCGGGGCAATGCCATCAAGCCCGTGGTGAGGGTGCAGATCGGGAGGCAGCGCTTCCACAGCCGCAGCCGGAGCGGGAACAACCCCTACTTCAACGAGGTGACGCCGCGCAGGGGACACGGGCACCGCTGCTGTCCCTCGGCCCGTCCTCACTGTCCCTTCTCCGGGTTTTCAGGTGTTCTGCCAGGATTTCCACATGGCGCCGGAGCAGCTGGTGGCACTGCCCATCCAGATCCAGGTGGGGCAGAGAGGTGGCACTGGGGGGACAGGGACACAGGGACAGGGGCATAGGGACACAAGGACACAGGGACAGCCGTGTCCCCTTCCCTGTCCCAGGTGCTCCGTTCACCAAACATCTGCACCAAACCCATCATTGGCGTCTTTGAGGTGAGGAGTGAGGGATTGGGAATGGGGTTTGGGATTGGTGTTTGGGATTTGGGAATGGGAGATTTGGATTGGGGTTTGGGAATGGGGTTTGGGAATGGGGTTTGGGAATGGGGGATTGGAATTGGGGTTTGGGATAGGGGGATTGGAATGGGGATTGGAATTTGGAATGGGGGATTGAGATTGAGGTTTGGAAATGGAGGATTGGGATTGGCCTTTGAGGATTGGGGTTTGGGAATGGAGCTTGGAATTGGGGATTGAGAATGGGGATTTGGGAATGGGGCACTGGGAATGGGGTTTGGGAATGGGGGATTGGAATTGGGTTTTGGGATTGGGGGATTGGAATGGGGATTGGAATTTGGAATGGGGGATTGAGATTGAGGTTTGGAAATGGAGGATTGGGATTGGCTTTTTGGGGATTGAGGTTTGGGAATGGAGCTTGGAATTGGGGATTTGGGAATGGGGCACTGGGAATGGGTTCTCAGAGCACTCTTGCCCCATTTGCCATTCCCACAGCTCGACGTTGGCACCATCTACTCTGCCCCAGGTAATGACAGGGTTGGGGTGGCACGGGGTGACATTAGGTGACACATTTTGGGGTGACACATTTGGGGTGACACATTTGGGGTGACACATTTTGAGCGACATTTCACACTAGCGCTAGCCAGGGGTGAAGCCCCATTTTGGGGGAGCACCGAGCGTTTTGGGGAGGTTTCAGGCATGGCTCCGGTGGCGCCGGGGAGGTGACTGCGGTGTCCCCGGTGTCCCCGGCCGGGCAGGGCGCAGCCTGAGCGGGAAGTGGCTGAGCCTGCAGCACCCGCGGCACCGCGACCGCCGCTCGCAGGGCTTCCTGCAGGTCAGCCTGGTGGTGCGCCGCGCCGGGGAGCGCGCCCAGGTGAGCGCCCCGCCCTCCCCTGCGCCCCAAAACCCTCCTGGGGGTCACCACGCTGTCACCTGCCCCCTACGCCACCCCCAGGAGCAGGAGGTGCCGCCGGGGGACGAGGACGTGGAGGCCAACCTGCTGCGGCCACCGCCCTGCGCCACCACGCTGCAGATCCGCGTGTTCCGCGCCGAGGACCTGCCGTGGGGTGGGGACACCGGGGTGTGGCGTGGGGACACCGGGGTGTGGCGTAGGGACAGCGGGAATTGGGGTGGGGACCATGGGAATTGGAGTGGGACACCGGGAATTGGAATGGGGACATTGGGCTTTGTGGGGACACCGGGAATTGGGATGGGGACACCAGGGTTTGGAGTGGGAGCAGATTTGGGGATCCCCTGCTCGCCACAGGGTGGGGACGCCAGGAATTCGGGGTGGGAGTGGGTTTGGGGACCCTCCTTCTCATCACAAGGTGGCCATGGGGGAATTTGGGGTGAAGGGTGGATTTGGGGACCTCTTTGCTCCAACAGAGTGGGAACACCGGGAATTTGGGGTGAAGGGTGGATTTGGGGACCATCCTGCTCACCACAGAGTGGCGACACCGGGGATTTGGGGTGGGGATGGATTTGGGGACCCCCTCCTTGCCGCAGGGTGGTAACCGGGGGGGATTTGGGGTGGGGATGGATTTGGGGACCCCCCAAAATCTCTCTGCTCGCCATCCCCTCGCAATAGAGCCGGCGCGGCCGTGCCTGGGCGGCGCCGCGGGCTCGCTGAAGGCGTCGGTGCGGGTCGGCTTTGCGGGCAGGACGGTGAGCGCGGGGCCGGGAATTTGGGGTGCCAGTTTGGGAATTTGGGGTGCCCCATCCTTTTGGGGGCTCACGGCCGTCCATCCGCAGCTCTGCACCCGCGGGGTCCCCGCCGATGCCAGCCCCGAGTGGAACGAGGTTCTGTCCTTCCCCCTGCGGGTGAGGAGCGCCCCCGGCCCCAAACGGGGGCACCCCAAAAAGGGGGGGCGCCCCCATTTCCCACAGCAGCCACACCGGGCGCTGTTCTGTCCCCGCAGCTGCCGCCCATCTGCGACGAGATCCTGCTGGAAATCCTGCGTGGGTGAGAGGGGGACACCCCCGGGGTTGGGGGACGACCTTCAGGTTTGGGGGCTCCCGAGGGTTTGGGGGGACACCCTGCGGGTTTGGGGGACACTCCTGGGGTTTGGGGACATCCCCAGCATTGGGGGGCTCCCTGTGAGTTTAGGGGGACATCTCCGGGATTAGGGGACACTCCTCGAGTTTGGGGGGACATCCCTGGGATTAGGGGACACTCCCCGGGCTTGGGGGACACCCCGCAGGTTTGGGGGACTCTCGAGGGTTTGGGGGGACATCCCTGGGATTAGGGGACATCCTGCGGGTTTGGGGGACATCCCTCAGGTTTGGGGGACTCCCTGCGAATTTGGGGGGACATCTCCGGGATTAGGGGACACTCCTCGAGTTTGGGGGACGACCTTCATGTTTGGGGGACACCCCGCGGGTTTGGGGGGACATCCCCGGGATTGGGGAACACCCCCGCGGGTTTGGGGGGATATGCCTGAGATTGGGGGACACTCCTCGGATTTGGGGACCCCCCCGCATTCAGGGGACCCCTGACCGTGTCCCCCCAGGTCGTGCCGGGGCAAAGCCGTGGGCAGGGCCACCCTGCGGCTGTCCCAAATCTCCCGGGAGCCCAAGGAGCTCGAGGGTGAGCGGGGCTGTCCCTTTTTGGGGTCCCCATTAGCCAGAGCCCACCCTGAACCCCCCTTTTGTCTGCCCCCAGAGGGGACCCCCGGGTTCTCCCCCACCTTCGGGCCCAGCTTCCTGCCCTTCTACGGCCCCCGGCCGGACGCTGCCAGGGTACGGAGCAGGGGTTGGGGCAAATGGGGTTTTTTGGGGGAAAATGGGGTGTCTGGGGGGGAAATGGGGAGTTATTGGGGCCAAGGAAGGGTTTCTGAGGGCTGTGGGATGTGTGGGGCGGGAATGGGGCAATGCGGGGGGAAATGGGGGGGTTGGAGGGGGAATGGGGTTATCGGGGTCGTCAGTGAGGGTTTGGGGAGTGGGAAAGGGAGTTTGGGGTGGTTTCAAGGGCAGTGGGAGTTTTGGGGTGAAATGGGGTGGGGGGAAACTGAGAATAGGGTGTAAATAGGATGGGAACAGAGAACAGGGCGTTTGAGGGAAACCGGGAATTATTGGGGCAGGGCTTTGGGGGACAATGGGACATTTGGGGTGTAAATGGGATGGGCAAATGGAGAATGGGGCGAAAATGGAATGGGGGAAACAGAGAATGGGGTGAAATGGGATGGGGGGAATGGAGGATGGGGTGAAAATGGGATGGTGATAACAGAATGGGACATTTAAGGGAAAACAGGAATTTTTGGAGCAGGACTTTGGGGGACAATGGGACATTTGGGGTGTAAATGGGATGGGGGAAATGGAGAATGGGGCAAAATGGGGATGGAGAAAATAGAATGGGGTGAAAATGGGATGGGCAAATGGAGAATGGGATGAAAATGGGATGGGGTAACAGAGAATGGGACATTTGGGGGAAAACAGGAATTGTCGGGGCAGGACTTTGGGGGACAATGGGGCAGGACTTTGGGGGACAATGGGACATTTGGGGTGGCCATGGGACGGGGAAAATGGAGAATGGGATGAAAATGGGATGGGGTAACAGAGAATGGGACATTTGGGGGAAAACAGGAATTGTCGGGGCAGGACTTTGGGGGACAATGGGACATTTGGGGTGAAAATGGGATGGTGATAACAGAATGGGGCATTTAAAGGAAAACAGGAATTGTCGGGGCAGGACTTTAGGGCACAATGGGACATTTGGGCTGCCCCCACACCCCGGGCTCGTTCCCCAGGACTCGGGGCCGGTTTTCCGGGGCCGCCTGCTGCTGGAGCTCTGCACCCACACGGGGACCCCGCCGGGGCGGCAGCGCGACGCCGTGGCCCCGGTGGACGCCGAGCGGGCGCAGGTGGGGACGCGGGGACACCGCGGGGACACCTCGGGCCGGTGCCACCCTCACCCCGCGGTGCCAGCTGAGCGCTTTTGGGGTCTCTCTCGCCGCAGAGCCGCCTGCCCCGCTGCCAGCTGGGGCTCTGCGGGGTTTTCTACTCGGCCACGGCCGTGCCCGGCGGCCCCGAGGCGCTGAGCCTGGAGCTGGGCATGGGTGGCACCGCGGCCGCCACCGCGCCCGCCCTGCCCGCCTTCGACGGTGAGCGGGGACAGCGCGGGTGGCACCGGGGCCGTTGTCACCTCCCTGGGGCCATTGTCACCTGCCCCGGGTGGGGGAACTGGGGAAGGGGGCGGGGAGACGGTGGGGGTGTGACTAATTGCTGGTTAATTAGGGTAATTATTTAATTATTGGAGGGTTTGATCTGCCTGTGTGGGAGGTTTGGGGTTATTTGGGGGTGGTTTGGGGGGATTTCAGGGTGTTTGGGGATGTTTTGGGGGATTTTGGGGTGTTTGGGGTTGATTCTGGGTTACTTTGGGGTGATTTGGGATGTTTTTAGGGATTTTAGGCAGTTTGGGGATGGTTTGGGGTGATTTTGGGGGTGATTCTGGGGTGATTTTGGGGTGTTCTGGGGTGCTGCCAGGATGCCCTGGGCTGAGGTGATTTTAGGGTGTTTTGGGATGTTTTTTGGGTGATTCTGAGGTGATTTGGGGTATTTTGGGGTGCTGCAAAGACACTCTGGGCTGAAGTGATTTTGGGGTGGTTTTGGGGTGTTGGGGACATGGATTGGGTGTCACCTGGGTGATGTCACCTGTGGATCAAGGGGACAATTTGGGAATCTCAGATGATCCCATGACACCTCCCAGGAAGCCGCAGCTGCCCCTCAGCAGCGAGGCCAGGTCCCTCCTCACCCCAAATTCCCCAATTTTCCCGAATTTTCCCGGATTTAGGGAACCTCTACCACTACCTGCCGTGGTTTGGGGACAAACCTGTGGCCGCTGTCACCTCGCAGTGGGAGGACGCCGGGCACCGCTGGGACAGCCTGAACCTCCTGCGAGCGCTGTGCCAGCACCTGGTGAGACCCCAAATTCGAGCAGGAATGACCCCAAATCCGCGTGGGATTGACCCCGAATCCAGCTGGGAATGACCCCAAATTCAGCTGGGAATGATCCCAAATCTGGGTGGGAATGATCCCAAATCCAGCTGGGAATGATCCCAAATCTGGGTGGGATCGATCCCAAACCCATGTGGGAATGGTTTGGCATGGGATTGACCCCAAATCCATTTTGGAACAGTTTGGGCTGTGTCTGATCCCAAATCCGTATGGGAATAGTTTGGAGTGGGATTGACCCCAAATCCATTTGGGAACGGTTTGGGATGGAATTGACTCCAAATCCCTTTGGGAACAGTTTGAGGTGGAAATGACCCCAAATCCATTTGGGGACATTTTGGGGTGGGATTGACCCCAAATCCAGCTGGGATGGAGTGGGATTGATTCCAAATCTTAGTGCGAATGGTTTGGGATGGGATTGACCCCAAATCCCTTTGGGAACAGTTTGGGCTGTGAAAAATCCCAAATCCATTTAGGGACAGTTTGGGGTGGGATAGACCCCAAATCCATTTGGGGACATTTTGGGGTAGGATTGACCCAAATCCATTTGGGAACAATTTGAGGTGGAAATGACCCCAAATCATTTTGGGAACAGTTTGGAGTGGGATTGACCCAAATCTATTTGAGAACATTTTGGGCTGTGAAAGATCCCAAATCCCTATGGGAACAGTTTGGGGCGGGATTGATCCCAAGTCCATTTGGGGACATTTTGGGGTAGGATTGACCCCAAATCCATTTGGGAATGGTTTGGGCTGTGTCTGATCCCAAATCCCTATGGGAATAGTTTGGGGTGGGATCGATCCCAAATCCATTTGGGGCCATTTTTGGGGCCGTTCCCAGGAGGAGAACCTGGCCAAGCTGCAGGGACACCACGGGGACACCAGCGGGGACATCGGGACGAAGCTGCTGCGGGAGCTGGAGCAGGACTGCGAGTGAGAGATCCCAAATCCCAACATCGGGGTTTGGGGCCGGGGGACCCCGAATCGGGGGGGAAACGGGGCTGGCAGTGGGGTCTGGGGGATTTGGGACACTTTGGGGGACAGTGGGACATTCCGGAGGGCAGTTTGGGGTGGAAATGGGATGAGGGGGACTGGGGTGTTTGGGGTGGAAATGGGGTTTTGGTGGGAGGATGGAGCGTTTGGGGGAAAACCAAGGAATTGTTGGGGCAAAGAATTTTAGGGGTAAAACTGGGGGTTTTGGGGTGATCCTTTAGGTTTTGGGGGGGTTTTGGGATGATTTTGGGGTGATTTTGGGCTGGTTTGGGCGCTGCAGGGCTGCCCTGAACTGGGATGTTTTTGAGTTGATTCTGGGATGTTTTTTGTGGTAATTTTGGGGTGATTTTGGGATGTTTTTTGGGGTGATTTTGAGTTGATTCTGGGATGTTTTTGGGGTGATTTTGGGCTGTCCTGGGCCCTGCAGGGCCGCCCTGCAGTACCTGGAGGAGCAGCCCATCCTGACTGCCCTGGACCGGGATGTTTTTGGGTTGATTCTGGGATGTTTTTGGGGTGATTTTGGGTTGATTCTGGGATGGTTTTGGGTTGATTGTGGGGTGTTTTTGGGTTGATTCTGGGATGTTTTTGGGGTGATTTTGGGCTGTCCTGGGCCCTGCAGGGCCGCCCTGCAGTACCTGGAAGAGCAGCCCGTCCTGACTGCCCTGGACCAGGATGGTTTGGGGTTGATTCTGGGATGTTTTTTGGGGTGATTTTGTGGTGATTTTGGGCTGTCCTGGGTCCTGCAGGGCTGCCCTGGGCTGGGGTGGTTTTGGGTTGATTCTGGGATGTTTTTTGGGATGATTTTGTGGTGATTTTGGGCTGTTCTGGCCCTGCAGGGCCACCCTGCAGTACCTGGAGGAGCAGCCCGTCCTGACCGCCCTGGACCAGCAGCTGCGGAGCTGCCGGCGGCGCCTCCTGCAGCGGCTGCAGCGCGAGGCCAGGGCCGACGGCCGCCACGGGGACACCCTGGGGACGGTGGCCCGGGGGTGGCTGCGGCGCGCGGCCGCGCTGGCCGTGGAGGTGACACCAAAACCCCAAAGTGGGACCAACCCCAACCCCGCCGTGCTGAGGCTGGGTCCCTGTGGGGCTGCTCCTGTCCCCGTCCCGGTGCCACTCTCACCCCTGTCCCCGTGTCCCCGCAGCCCCAGGCCGGTGTCCCCGACGTGCAGCTGTGGCTGCTGCGGGGCCAGACACGGGTGGCCTCGGCCCGTGTCCCCGCCACCGATGTCCTGCACTCCCCGAACGGCCCCGGCGCCTGCGGCCAACTCTGCGGGAGGATCGTCACCCTGTTCCTGGTGGGAGATCCTGCTGTCCCTCTGTGTCCCCTCAGTGTCACCTCGGTGTCCCCTGCTGTCCCTCTGTGTCCCCTTGGTGTCCCTCCATGTCCCCTCTGTGTCCCCTTGGTGTCCCTCCATGTCCCTTTGGTGTCCCTCCGTGTCCTCTCGGTGTCCCCTGCTGTCCTTCCTTGTGCCTTCCATGTCCCCTCTGTCCCTGCTCCATGTCCCCTCTCTATTCCCACCTCATCTCCTCCAAGTCCCTGCTCTGTGTCCCCCCACGTGTCCCCTGTCTGTCCCCCCATGTCCCCTGTCTGTCCCCCCGTGTGTCCCCACTCCGGGTGACACTGTGCCACACTCTGTGTCCCCAGGGCTGCGGGGACAGCCAGGCCCAGGTGCGAGTGTGGCTGTGGCTGGGCCGAGTGGCCGAGAGCGGCGAGCTGGCCGGGCTGCTCGGGGGGAGCCTGCGCTTCTACTGCCAGATGGTGGGGACAGCAAGGGGACAGGGATGGGGACAGTGTGGGGACAGGGGAGGGGACAGTATGGGCACAGCATGGGGAGAATACAGGGAACAGCCTGGGGGACAGGGGAGGGGACAGCAAAGGGAAAACACGGGGACAGTAAAGGGAGAGTACAGGGGACAGCATGGGGATAGTGGGGACAGGGATGGGGACAGCATGGGGACACCACAGGGGACAGCTGGGGACATGGGGATGTGCAGCGTGGACAAGGGAGGGGACAGCACGGGGAGAGTACAGGGGACAGCATGGGGACAGTGGGGACAAGGGAGGGGACACCACAGGGGACACCACAGGAACAGCATGGGGACAGCAGAGACAGAACAGGAGGGGACAGCAGGGAGGGGACAGCAGGGAGGAGGCAGCACCTGGGAGGGGACACCTGGGAGGGGCCAGCACCCCACAGTGTCCCCTAAGGCCAGGCCCAGTGTCCCTAAGGCCAGGCACTGTCCCCGCAGTTCGAGAACCAGACGCGCCTGTTGGGGACGTGGGGGCCCCGGCTGTTTTTGGGGCGCCCCACGTTCTCCGACAGCTCCGGCCGGGCCCTGCCCCCCCCGGAGGAGCTGCGGCCCCCCAAGGGATGGAGCTGGGACGGGCCCTGGAGCGTGGAGCGGCCGCGGCGGCGGTGAGCGCGGGGGACGGCCACCCCTGTCCCTGCGGGAGCGCGGTGACACCAGAAGTGTTCCCCGGTGTCCCCAGGGTGACACCAGCCGTGTCCCCGATGTCCCCAGGGTGCCAGCACGGGCAGAGGGCGCAGGGACCGTGGTGCTGGAGGAGCTCTATGAGAACCAGAGCCGAGAGCCCGGTGGGGACTGGACCAGCACGGCCAGCACGGACGCCGTGAGTGGGGGACAGCGTGGGGACAGCACGGGTGACACCGGAGTGTCACAGCTCAGCGCCCGCCTGGTTTTACAGAAGGGAGTGGCAGTGCCACCAAAAGAAGAGGTGGCGTGTCCCCAGGGCTGGCACGTCACCAGTGACTGGCAGGTGGACGTGGAGGGGGCTGAGGATGAGGACGGTGAGTGGGGGGTCCCTGGTGGGCACAGCAGAGTGGGGGGCACAGGGATGGGGTGACGGGGATGGAGGTGACAAAATGAGGGTGACAGGAGGGGCTGGCAGGGATGGAGGTGGCAGGGATGGGGTGACAGGGCTGAGGGTGACAGGGATGAAGGTGACAAAATGGGGGTGACAGGGATGAAGGTGACAAAATGGGGGTGACAAGGGACACGGTGGCAGGTACGTGGTGGCAAGGAGCTGAGCCCTGTGTGTGCAGGTTGGCACTACGGGGTGGGCACGGAGGATGGCAGCCCCCCGGCAGCGTGGCACAGCGAGGGACAGCAGTGCCACACCCTGCGGCGCCGGCGCTGGCTCCGGGTCCGCCACAGGGACAGCGACAGCTGGGCACAGGACACGGACACCTGCAGCAGCCTGGTGACACTCACGGGGGGTGACAAGGATGGGTGGCAGGGTGGGGGTGACAGGGATGGAGGTGACAAAGAGAGGTGACAAGGATGGGGTGTGATGGGGGATGAGGGTGGTGGGTTGGGGTGATGGGACGATGACGAGAGGGAAGGGGGTGATGGGGATGAGGCCGGCAGTCCCTGTGCCACACTGTCCCCGTGTCACTGAGTCCCCGTGTCCCCGTGTCCCCTCCAGGACCCCGAGGAGCTGTGGGAGGACGAGGCCTGGCAGCCCGAGTGCTTCTGGGGCTGCACCTTCCAGCCCAAGGTCCCGGCCGGGCCCCGGTGCCGCCGGCGGCGCTGGCAGCGCTGCCTGGTGCCCGCCGAGCCCGGGGCCACCGTGGCACCCGTGTTCCTGCTCCGGGAAGCCCCGGTACGAACGGGAGGGACCCGGGAGAACGGGAGATGTGGAGATGGAAGGGAGGGAAGAGGGACGGATGGAGCCCTGTGGAGCGGGGCCATGGTGGGACAGTCGCACACGGGACAGGGGGACAGGGGACAGCAGGGTCCCCCCAGCCCAGCCCTGTCCCCTCCCAGGACACCGAGGAGCCGGCCCAGGACAGTCCAGAGGTGGCCCTGCAGCAGCCACCGCCCTTCATCCTCTGCAGCTTCCAACGTGAGCCCGGGGCCGGGAGGGACCGGGGACAGGCTGGGAGTGACTGGGAGGGACCGGGAGTGACCGGGAAGGGTCGGGAGTGGCCGGGGGGGAACTGGGAGTGACTGGGAGTGACCGGGGACTTCCAGCCCCCCCTGACCCCCGGCTGTCCCCAGGCCCCGGCCGCTTCCAGCTCCGCTGTTACATCTTCCAGGCGCTGGATCTGGCGCCCGGCAGCTCCAGGACCTCCATAGGTGAGACCCCTCCTGTCCCCGGACGCCGCCCCGCGGGCAGCCCCGGGCGCTGACGCCGTCGCCGTCCCCAGATGCCACCGCGCACGTGTCGTTCGTGTCCCTGAGCCAGCGCACGGGGACGGCGCGCGGGGCCCTGGACCCGCGCTGGGAGCAGACGCTGCTGTTCCCCCGGGTGCCGCTGTTCGGGGACCCCCGAGGCGTCGGGAGGGACCCCCCGGCCGTGGTGGTGGAGGTGTGGGACCAGCGGGGACAGGTACGGGACACTCCGGGCACGGGGAGGGAGGGATGGGAGCAAAGGAGGGGATGGGGATGGGGGATCAGGGGTAAGGATGAGCGGTCAGGGATGGAAGGATGGAGGGATGTGAAAAGAGAGGGAGGGAGGAAGGAGGGAGGGAAGGAGGGAAGGGTGGGAGCAGAGGGATGGAGGGATGGATGATGGATGGATGATGGATGGATGGAAGGAGGGATGGATGGATGGAGGGATGGATGGATGATGGATGGATGGGACATTGATGGATGGAGGGATGGATGGATGGATGGATGGATGGACGGATGGAAGGAGGGAGGAATGGATGGATGATGGAGGGAGGGATGGATGGATGGAACATGGATGGAGGGCTGGCAGGAGGGATGGAGGGACAGGGGCTCAGGGATGGAGGGACAGAGGTCAGAAATCAAGGGACAAGGGGATCAGAGATGGAAGGATGGAGATGTCAGGGATGGAAGAACAGAGAGATCAGGGATGGACGGACAGCAGGATCAGGGCTGGAGGGGCAGGGATCAGGGCTGGAAGGATGGGGCTGTCGGGGCTGGAGGGGCAGGCACAGCCCCGGCCGGGCCAGCCCCTGCTCCGGCTCTCCCCCAGGGCCCCGCGGTGCTCCTGGGCCGCTGCGTGTGCTCCCCGCGGGTCTGGCTGGACGCGGCGCTCCGGGAGCCGCCCCGGCTGCAGCCCCACGCGCTGCGGGGCCCGCGGGGCGCGGCCGGGGAGCTGCTGGCGGCCTTCGAGCTCCTGCAGGAGCCCCAGGTGAGGCGGGGACACTGCGTGACACTGGGGTGACACAGAGGGCACCCAGGGCAGGGGTGGCATCGTCACTGTGTCCCCTCCATGGCAGGACGGGTCCCCGGCTCCGCTCAGCCCCCCGCCCCTGAGCAAGGACGGGTTCGGCATCCCCCCGGAGCTGCGGCCGCGCCTGCAGTGGGTGGCGCTGGAGGTGGGAGCCACCTGCGGGAGGGGACAGCGTGGGGACAGCCCGGGGGACAAGGGGGGAACAGGGAACGGGGTGGGGACAGGGATGGGGACAGGGTGGGGACAAGGGGGGAACAGGAAATAGGATGGGGACAGGGCTGGAATGGGGACGGGGATGGGAGTGAGATAAAGGTGGAATGGGGATAGGGATGGGACAGGGATAAAGGTGGGATGGGACAGGGATGGGGACAGGGATGGGACAGGGATAAAGCTGAGATGGGGACAAGACTGGAGATGCATCCTGGGCGTGCCACAGGGTGTGGGCAGAGCTGAAGCTCCTGGCGTTGGGGACAGGGACATGGGATGGGGACAGAACAGGGACAAGAACAGGAGCCAAGATGAGCGCGGGCACAGAGGGGAGGAGGCAAAGCCAGCACAGGAGTGGGGACAGCAACACGGATGGGGACAGGGGTGAGGACAGGGACACGGACGGGGACAGGAGTGGGGACAGGGACCCGGATGGAGACAGGGACACGGACGGGGACAGCACCTTGAGGCCCCCCCGAGGTGCCAGGCCGGTGTCCCGCAGGTGCTGGCCTGGGGGCTGCGGGGGCTGCGCGGGGCCGTGCGGGAGCCGCGCCTGGAGCTGCAGTGGGGGGAGCAGAGCCTGTGGACGCCCCCCATCGAGGACATGGCCACCAACCCCAACTTCCCCAGCAACGCCTTCCTGCTCACCCTGGTGAGGGCAGGAGCGGGCCCGGGGGTGGCTGCGGTGACCGGGCTGTCCCTGACCTGTGCCCGGCCGTGCCCGCAGGCGCTGCCCGAGCAGGAGCGCTTCGTGCCGCCCGTCCGCCTGCGGCTCTGGCACCGCGCGGGCGCCGAGCGGCAGCTGCTGCTGGGCCAGGCCAGCGTCAGGGAGCTGGGCCGGTACCGGTGCCCCCCGCCCTGCCAGGAGCCTGGCAACGGCTCTGACACAGTTGTGTCAATGCCAGGTACGGCCCGTGCCATCCCTGACCATCCCTGGTGCCACCTGTCCCATCCCTGCCCATCCCTGGTTCCATCTGTCCCATCCCTGGTGCCACCTCCCATCCCTGCCCATCCCTGGTGCCACCTGTCCCATCCCTGCACGTCCCTGGTGCCACCTGTCCCATCCCTGGTGCCACCTGTCCCATCCCTGCCTGTCCCTGGTGCCACCTGTCCCATCTCTGCCCATTGCAGGTGCCACCTGTCCCATCCCTACCTCACCCTTTGTACCCCCTGCCCATGCCATCTGTCCCCTGCCCTATCCCTGCCCCATCCCAACTGTCCCCTGTCCCATCCCAGCTGTCCCCTCCCTCATCCCCGCTGTCCCTGTGTCCCTCAGACGAGCTCCTCTCCGTGCCCGCCTCCTCCAGCCCCTGCAGGCGTTGGTGTTCCCAGTTCCTGGCCATGGCCATGTCCCCGGCCAGGATGGCTCAGGTGAGTCCCCCATGTCACCTGGCACCAGCCCTGGCACCGCTGGGGGCTGGCACTGCCCGGCCCCGTGCCTCAGTTTCCCCAAGAGCCCTTTGCTCCCTGCAGGACCTGCTGGGCTACCTGAGGAGCAGGCGGGCTGAGGATGAGGTGGGCACAGGGACGGGGACAGGGGGCGCCGGGGAGGCCACCAGGGCCACCTGTGCCCACCTGTGCCCACCTGTGCCCACCTGCTCCTGCTCCCTGCCAGGACGAGGAGGATGAAGACGAGGAGGATGAGGACGATGAGGAGGAGGAGGAGAGGGAGAGGGACTGGTGGAGCAAATTCTATGCATCCATGGAGGACAAGGAGCCCAAATCTCCATGGGGAACCAACGGGGACAGGCTGAAGGTGAGCCAGAGCCTGGGATGGGGACAGGGACAGGGACAGGATGGGGACACAGAGAGGGACAGGATGGGGACAGGGACAGGGAGGATGAGGGGAGTGAGTGAGGACAAGGAGTGGGATGAAGCTGAGGGGGACAGGGATGATGATGAGGATGAGGAGGGAATGGGGACAAGAGATGGGGATGAAACTGAGTGGATAAGGGATGATGATGAAGGTTGGGACAAGGACAGGGATGATGATGAAGATGGGGACAAGGACAAGGTTGATGATGAAGCTGGGGAGGGGACACGGATGAGGAGGGACTGGGGACAAGGATGAAGGATGAGGAGGGAATGAGGATGAGGAGGGAATGGGGACAAGGATGATGACGAGGAGGGACTGGGGACAAGGATGAGGATGAGGAGGGAATGGGGACAAGGATGATGATGAAGCTGGGGAGGAGACAAGGATGAGGAGGGAATGGGGACAAGGATGATGATGATGAAGGTGGGGAAGAGGACAAGGATGAGGGTGAGGAGGGAATGAGGATGAGGAGGGACTGGGGACAAGGATGAGGGTGAGGAGGGAATGGGGACAAGGATGGTGACGAGGAGGGACTGGGGACAAGGATGAAGAAGGGCCCGGGGCTGCCGTGGGGAGCTGCCCTAGATCTGGCCCTGGCTGCCCCGAGCCCGGCCCTGCCCGCAGATCTACGGCTGCGAGCTGGAGGCCGTGCCCGAGTTCCAGGCGCTGCAGGATTTCTGCCAGAGCTTCCCCCTGTGCAAACCCGGCCGCGCCCCCGAGCCCGTGGGCACCTTCAAGGTGGGTGAACCCCCCAAATGTGGGACCCCCGGGGCGGGCGGGACCCCCCGAGGCACCGCGGGGTCTCTCAGGGGCTGTTCCGCATCTACCCCGTGCCCGAGGGCGCCGCGGCCCCGCCCGGCCCGCGCTGCTTCCAGCGGCTGCCGCCCGCGCAGCCCCAGCCCTGCCTGGTGCGCGTCTACGTGGTGCGAGCCTTCGACCTGTCCCCCCGCGATGTCACCGGCCTGGTGAGGACAGCGGGGACCCCCGGGGCGGGGCGGGGCGGGGCGGGCCCGGTGTCACCGCCCCGGTGTCCCCTCGTGCCCCCCAGAGCGATCCCTACGTGCGGGTGGCGCTGGGCAAGAGGACGCTGGGGCAGCGCGACCACTACGTGCCCAACACCCTGGAGCCCGTCTTCGGCAGGTGCGCACGGGTGGCACTGGTGGCACTGTCACCCCCGGGGGGGTGGCACTGGTGGCACTGTCACCCCCGGGGGGCACTGGGGGGGACTCAGCAGGTCGCCATTGCCAGTGCTGTTGTGCCACCAGATCCCTGTGACATTCCCTGTGCCACCACCTGTCCCATCCCCTGTTCCCCCAGCCGTCCCATTCCCTGTGCCATCACTGGTGCCATGTCCCCGTGTCCCCTCCTGTCCCACTCCCTGTCCTGCCCTGTCCCTGTGCCCTCACCTGTCCCATTCCCTGTGCCACCACCTGTCCCATTCCCTGTCCTGCCATGTCCCCACCTGTCCCACTCCCTGTCCTGCCATGTCCCTGTGCCACCACCTGTCTCATTCCCTGTGCCACCAGCTGAACCATTCCCTGTCCTGCCATGTCCCTGTGTGCCCTCCTGTCCCACTCCCTGTGCCCTCACCTGTCTCCTGTCCTGCCCTGTCCCCTCCTGTCCCACTCCCTGCCCTGCCATGTCCCGTGTCCCCATCTCTCCTGTCCCCGCGGGTCTCCCTGTCCCCGCGCCACCCCCGGGCTGATGGCGCCGCTGCCCCCAGGATGTTCGAGCTGACGGCCACCATCCCCCTGGAGAAGGACCTGCGGGTGACAATCATGGACCACGACAAGGTGCCCCCGGACCAGGAGATCGGCAGCACCACCATCGACCTGGAGGACCGGCTGCTGTCCCACCACCGCGCCCACTGCGGGCTGCCCGGCCTGTACCACACGTGGGTGGCACGGGGACACGGGGAGGGGACACGGGGAGGGGACACGGGGGTGACATGGGGAGGGGACACAGGGGACATGGGGAGGGGACACGGGGGGCTGGGAGGGCACAAGGAGGGGACACAGGGGGCTGGGAGAGGGGACAGAAGGGGACACAGAGGGCAGGACAGGAGGGGACACAGGAGGTGGGACAGGGAGGGGACACAGGGCACGGAGACACAGGGAGGGGACACAGGGGCACAGGAGGGGACAGAGGGCACAGAGACACAGGGAGGGGACACGGGGGCACAGGAGGGGACATGGGGGACTGGAAGGGGGCACAGGAGGGGACACGGGAAGGGGGCACAGGAGGGACAAGGAGGGACACGAGGAGCTGGGAGGGGGGACAGGAGGGGGCACAGAGGGCAGGACAGGAGGGGACACAGGAGGTGGGACAGGGAGGGGACCCAAAGGGGGAGGTGGCAATGGAGGGACAAGGAGGGACACAAGGAGCTGGGAGAGGGGACAGGAGGGAACATGGTGGGCACACGGGGGCACCAGAGGATGGCAGGGAGCGGGCACAGAGGGATTTGGGACATGGTGAGGGGTAGGATGGGGGGCACAGAAGGGTTTGGGTGGCACAGGAGGGTGGCATGGAGTGGGCACAGAGGGATTTGGGACACGAGGAGGGGCAGGATGGGGGGCACAGGAGGATGGCAGGGAGTGGGCACAGAGGGCCGGGGCGGGCACAGGGGTGGCTCCCAGCAGAGCAGAGGTGCCACTGGCGTGTCCCCAGCGCGGGCCCCGCGTGCTGGCGGGACCAGCTGTGCCCCAGCCGGGCCCTGGAGCTGCTGGCGGCCGCCCGGGGGCTGCGCGGGCCCCGCTTCAGCCGCGGGGGCACCGCCCTGAGCCTGGGCGGGCAGCGCTTCCTGCTCAAACACTTCGGTGAGGGGGGAATGGGGGGCACCGGGGGGCTGGGAGGGGTTTGGAGGGGTCTGGGGGGCGGTTTGGGGTGGATTTGGTGGGGGTTTGGGGGGTCTGGGGGGCGGTTTGGGGTGGATTTGGTGGGGGTTTGGGGGGTCTGGGGGGGATCTGGTGGGGATTTGGGGGGGTCTAGAGGATGCTGGGAGGATGTGGAGAGGGTCTGGTAGGGGTCTGGGAGGTTCTGGGGAGGGTTTGGGGGGATCTGGTGGGGATTTGGGGGGGTCTGGAGGATGTTGGGAGGGTCTGGTGGGGGTTTGGGGGGTTCTGGGGGCGGTTTCGGGGATCTGAGGGGGTTTGGGAGGATGTGGGCAAGGTCTGGTGGGAGTTTGGGGGTTCTGGGGAGGGTCTGGGGTGGTTTGTGGGGATCTGGGGAGGGGTTGGGGGATATGAGCGGGTCTGGGGTGTCTGGGGTAATTTGGGGGTGTCTAGGGTGGGTCTGGGGTGGTTTCTGGGAATCTGAGGGGGAGGGTTGGGGGTTCTGGGTGGGTCTGGGGTGTCTGCGGTAATTTGGGGGTGTTGAGGGGGTCTGGGTGGCTCTGGGGACGATTTGTGAGATCTGGGGTCTCTGGGTGGCTCTGGGGAGGATCCGGGCGTGTCTGTGGGGTGACAGCGGGGCGGGTGACAGCGGCCCGGTGTCCCAGAGCGGCGCCGCCCCCCGCCCCGCCACGCCGGGGCCCCCCGGGAGCGCCTGGCCCTGCACGTGCTGAACCGGTGCGAGCTCGTCCCGGAGCACCTGGAGACGCGCGGGCTGCAGAGCCACGCCCGGCCCGGCCTCGAGCAGGTGACACCGGGGACATCGTGGGGACAGGGACAATGGGGACACGGAGGACAGCGGGGACATCACGGGGACAGGGACACCGGGCTGGGGATGACAGTGACACCTGGCGGGGAGGGGTGATGGGGACATCGGGGTGACAGAGAACGTGGGAATGGGGACATTGTGGTGGCAGGGACATTGGGGATGGGGACACTGGGGTGACAATGACACTGGGAATGGGGACACTGTGGCAGGGACACTGGGGATGGGGACACTGTGGTGACAATGACACTGGGAATGGGGACACTGGGGTGACAGGGACACTGGGGATGGGACATTGTTGTGACAATGACACTGGGGTGGGTGCCAGGGACCCCAGGAGTGGGTGATGGGGCAGGGGGGTGACAAGGACAGGTGCTGGGGGGGACAAAGGGACCCCGCAGTGATGAAGAGTCTAGGGTCATGGGGACAGTGAGGGGACACTGGGGGACACTTGGGGACATGGGGCCGGTGCCAGCCCATCCCGCTGTCCCCAGGGCAAGGTGCAGATGTGGGTGGACATTTTCCCCACCAGCCTCGGCCCCCCCGGGCCCCCCGTGAACATCGACCCCCGCCAGGCCGAGGGGTGAGTGAGGGACAGGGACACCCCCGTGGGGACAGAGACACCCCTGTGGGGACAGGGACAGCCCCGTGGGGACAGGGACACCCCTGTGGGGACAGGGACACTCCAATGGGGACAGGGACAGCCCCGTGGGGACAGGGACACCCCTGTGGGGACAGGGACAGCCCCGTGGGGACAGGGACAACCCCGTGGGGAGAGGGACAGCCCCGTGGGGACAGGGACAGCCCTGTGGGGACAGGGACACCCCCATGGGGACAGGGACACCCCCGTGGGGACAGGGACACTCCAATGGGGACAGGGCCAGCCCCGTGGGGACAGGGCCAGCCCCGGCAGAAGGTGACAGACCCGTCCCTGTCCCTGTCCCTGCCGAGGTACGAGCTGCGCTGCGTGGTGTGGAACGTGCGGGACACGGAGCCCGGGGACATCAACCTGCTGGGCCAGCGCATGAGTGACATCTACGTGTCCGGGTGTGTCCCCATCGTGTCCCCTGTCACCCCCCAGCTCCTGTCCTGCTCGCCCCAGAGCCCCCGGCAGGTCCTTTGTCACCACAGGGTCCCCAGGGTCCCTGTCACGCCAGGGTGTCCCCATCCGTGTGGGCACAGGGGTGACAGTGGTGTCCCCTCTGGGGTGGCACGGGGGTGACAGCAGTGTCCCCTTTGGGGTGGCACAAGTGGCTGGAGTGGCACAGAGGTGACAGGAGTGTCCCTGCAGGTGGCTGGATGGGCTGGGGTGGGTATAAAGGTGACAGCGGTGTCCCCTGGGTGGTGGCACCGAGGTGACAGCGCTGTCCCCACAGATGGCTGGATGGGCTGGGATGGGTACAGTGTCTCCTGGGGGGTGGCACACAAGTGACAGTGGTGTCCCCTGTGGATGGCACACAGATGACAGCGGTGTCCCCTGGGGTGGTGGCACACGGGTGACAGCGCTGTCCCCGCAGGTGGCTGGACGGGCTCCCCGAGCAGCGGCAGCACACCGACATCCACTATCGCTCCCTGGACGGCCGCGGCGCCTTCAACTGGCGCTTCGTGTTCCCCTTCGAGTTCCTGGCGGCTGAGAAGCTCTGCGCCATCCGCCGCAAGGTCGGGGCACAGGGAGGGGACAGGGAAGGGACAGCGAGGGGACAGCGAGGGGATATCTGTGACCTTGCCCTGTCCCCGGGCAGGAGCACGTGTGGAGCCTGGACGAGACCCTGCTGAAGGTGCCGCCCAAGCTCATCCTGCAGGTGTGGGACAATGACAAGTTCAAGGCGGACGATCTGCTGGGTGAGAGACCCTGTGACCACCGGGGGGACACTGCAGGGGACAGGGGACAGCCAGTGGAGACAGGGAGTGGCCAGTGGGGACAGGGAGCACCCATTGGTGCTAAGGAGCTCCCACCAGTGACAGGGAGTTCCCAGTGGTGATAAGGAGGACCCATTGATGATAAGAAGCCCCCACTGTTTATAAGGAGGCCCCATTGATGATAAGAAGCTCCCACCGATGACAAGGAGCTCCCATTGGTGACAAAGAGCTCCCACCTGTGACAGGGAGCTGCCACTGGTGACAACGAGCTCCCACTGTTGATAAGGGGGACCCATTGATGATAAGAAGCTCCCACTGTTTATAAGGAGGACCCATTGATGATAAGAAGCTCCCACTGGTGACAAGGAGCTCCCACTGGTGATAAGGAGGACCATTGATGATAAGGAGCTCCCCCAGGTGACAAGGAGCTCCCCAGGTGACAGAGCCGTCCCCTGGCCTGTCCCGCAGGGATCCTGGAGCTGGAGCTGACCCGGCTGCCCCGCCCGGCCCGCAGCGCCCGCCTGTGCCGGGCCTCGCCGTCGGAGCTGCCCTGGTTCTCGTGGCCCTGGTTCTCCCTGCCCGGCTTCCTCCGGGCGCGGCTCTCCCGGGCCTGGCTCTCCCTGGCGCGGCTCTCCCGGCTCGGGCTGCCCCTGGCGCGGCTCTCCCGGCGCCTCTCCCGGCGCTGGCTCGGCGCCCGGGCTCTGCAGCCCCTGAACCTGTTCCGCAGGCGGAGGGCGCGGGGCTGGTGGCCCTGCACCATGCACGAGGACGGCGGCCAGCGCCTCTCGGTGAGTTGGGGACGGGCTGGGGACACCCGCACGGGGCTGGGGGACACCGGGGACAGATCCAACCGCCCCCCCCCCCCCCCCCCCCCGGGCCTGCAGGGGAAGCTGGAGCTGAGCCTGGAGCTGCTGTCGGCGCAGGAGGCCGAGGAGCGGCCGGTGGGGAAGGGCCGGGAGGAGCCCAACAAGCACCCGACCCTGCCCGAGCCCAGGTGAGCCGGGGACAGCAGGAGGGGACAGGGGACAGGCTGAGCACGGTGTCCCCCCAGGAAGGGGACAGGCAGTGGCTGAGCCCGGGAACAGGAGGTGGCCGAGCCCGGTGTCCCCGGTGGCTCAGCCCGGTGTCCCCATGGGCAGGGGACAGGCGGTGGCTGAGCCCAGTGTCCCCGCTGGCCCCTCAATAGGGGACAGGCGGTGGCCGGGCCCGCTGTCCCCGGTGGCTCAGCCCGGTGTCCCCGCAGGCGCCCCAAGTCCTCGTTCCTGTGGCTGACCTCTCCCCTCCGCCTCATCCGCTACGGCGTCCGCTGGCACTGCCTGCTGTGGCTCGGGCTGGGGCTGGCGGCGCTGCTGCTGCTCCTGCTGCTCCATTCCTTCTTCCCGGTCAGCACCGCCCCCCAAACTCCCGCTGTCCCCCCTGAACGCGCTCTGAGTGCCCGTGTCCCCTGCAGAGCACCCTCAGGGTGAAGGTGGCTGAGGCGCCCCCGCTCCTGCCGGCCACGAAGCATCCCCGGAGCGAAGGCTGAGGAGGAGCCGCCCGGTTCCCGAATTTCCCGGCTCTCAAACCCCTCCGGAGCTGCTCTGGATGTCCTCGGTGGGATCTGCAGCGGGGATCGGCCCCGGAACGCCGGGGGAGCTGAACATGCACGTTCCCTGCTGAACAAAGCCGTGTCCGAGCAGCACCGCAGCGTCGTCCCCGTCTCTGGCGGCTTGGGGGGGCACGGACACCCCAAGCCCAGTCCCGATCCCAAATCCAGCCCCACCCCAGTCCCAGCTCTGCCCCAGTTCCTGCCCTAACCCCAAGAGCATCACCAGCCCCCGTGCCCCGGGCGGGACGGGGACACCCCGGGCAGGGCGGCCGGGAGGGAGGGACGGGGGAGCGGCGCCCGGTCCCGGATCACGGCGGGATGTGGAGCGGAACAGCCAGGCGGGTGCCCTGACCGCGGGGCCGGGCCGGGGCAAGGACGGACACGGGCGGGAGCATCCCCCGGGGTTACGGGCAATGAATGCCGACAGAGCATCCCCCGGGAAAACGACAATGGACACCGAGACAACGACTACGGACACCGAGAGAAATACTATCGACACCGGCAGCCATGCCCGCTCTGCACCGGAGCCCCGGCACCGCCTCTGCCCCTCAGCGCCGTGACCGGCCGGGCCGGGGGAAGGACGGACACCGCCCGGAGCATCCCCGGGCCGAGGAGGGCGGAGATGTCCCAGCCCCGGTCCGGCCCTGCCCCGGTGCGAGGCGAACGCTCCCGGTGACAGCGCCCGGTACGCCCAGGCCCCGCCCCTCCCGGAACGCTCTCAGCCAATCACATCGCTCCGTCCCGCTCCAGCCCCGCCCCTCATTATTCCCCAACAAAGCAAAGCGCTCCATGCCCCGCCCCTCATTGTTGGCGCTCGGATCCCATTGGCTGCGGTCGAGAGGGCGGGGCTAAGCATGCGTATATAAAGCGGTGGCGGGGGCGCCGGGCTTAGTTCGGTTCGGGCGGCGGCATCGGAGCGGGCCGGGAGGAGCGGAACATCCAACACCGGAGCACCGGCCGAGCCTTCGGAACCCTCAGCCCCGGAGCTCCGGCACCTCCTGAGCCCTCGGACCCGCCCGCCCAGAGCCCCGATACGGGGCGGTCTTTGGAGGGAGGTTGGGAGGGACCGGGATCCGCCGATGCGCCGCTTCTCGCCGCCCCTGCGCCTTTTCTCACCGCCACCTTCTCGGTACCGGCCCCTCCAAACGGGAGCGGGATCGGCACCGGGACCACCCCCGGCTCAGCAAAGGTAAGGAGCGAGACCCGCCGGGGCACCGAGGGACCACGCCGGGCCCCCCCAAACCGGAGGGGCTCGGCCACCGCCCCGGCCTGGCCAAGGTAAGGGGATGGAGAACACGGCACCCCCAAACTGGGGGGTCGGACACCACCCCCGGCTCAGCAAAAGGTAAGGACAGACAACCCGGGGCACCGAGGGACCACGCCGGGCTCCCGGATTGGGGGCTCGGCCACCGCCCCGGCCTGCCAAAGGTAAAGGACAAAATAAAATTGGCAAAAATCACATAAAATGCTGTGGCTGATCTCTGCTGGTTCAGTGCGTCGCTCGCCACCCGCACAAATCACAAAGCCCCCACAAGAGTGGGGCTGGGACCCCCAGAGACCCCTCCCCATAAAGCCAAGCACCCCAGAAATTGGGCTGGGACCACCAGAAATAATAAATAATAATACCCATTCCCCAGGATGGAGCACAGGGCACGAGGTGGGGTTCACGCCCAGGGGGGCAGCCCTGGGCCCCTCCTGGAGCTCTTTATTGTGGCGGGGCAGGCTCAGCCCTTGGGGGCCGAGGTGAAGATGCGCAGGCCGTGCATGTGCTTGATCTCCTCGCTCAGCGCCTGCGGGGCAAGCGCAGCTCAGGGCACATCCATCCCCTCTCTCTCCTATTCCCTCATAACCCATTCCCTCTCCCCTATTCCAGCTGTTCCCTTTCCCTCTCTCCTCTCTCTCATTCCCTCTCCCCATCCCTCTCCTCCATTTCCTCTCTCCCATTCCCTCACACCCATTCCAGTTATTCCCATCCCCTTTGTCCCATCCCCCTCCCCCTTTCCCTCTCCCCCATTCTCTCTCCCCTATTCCAGCTGTTCCCTTTCCCTCTCCCCATTCCCTCTCTCCATTCCCTCTCTCCTATTCCAGCTGTTCCCTTTCCCTCTCTCCATTCCCTCTCCCCTATTCCAGCTGTTCCCTTTCCCTCTCCCTGTTCTCTTTCCCCGTTCCTCCCACCTGTGTCACCATCCTGTGCTGCTGCACCGGCCGCTTCTCCCGGAACTCCTCCGACTCCACGTGGATCTCGTACATGTCACCGCAGCCTCCTGGCAACCAGGGCAAATTAATGCCAATTAATGCCAATTAAAATCCATTAAAGTGAATTAAAGTCAGGGATTGAGCACCCTCACACTCCTGCCCCGTCTGGGGATGCACACAGCCTGAGGGAGCGGGAGACTGAGTGGGTTTAAAAAAATAATCTGGGTTTAGGGCAACCAAGAGTGGGTTTAGGACAATAAAAACCAGGTTTAGGGCAACAAGAATGGGTTTAGGGCAATAAAGAGCGGGTTTAAGGTAGAAAGAGTGGGTTTAGGGCAACCAAAAGCGGGTTTAGGACAATAAAGAGCAGATTTGGGGCAACCAAGAGTGGGTTTCGAGTAATAAAGAGCAGGTTTAATACCACAAAGAGTGGGTTTAAGGTAGAAGGAGCAGTTTAGGGCAATAACGCGTGAGTTTAGGGAAACGAGGAGAAGGTTTAGGGCAATAAAGAGCAGGTTTAAGGTAATAAGTGGGTTTGGGGCAACCAAGAGTGGGTTCAGGGCAATAAAAAGCCCGTTTAGGGCAATAAAAAGCAGGTTCAGGGTAATAAAGAGCAGGTTTAGGGCAATAAAAAACCCATTTAGGGCAACCAAGAGCGGGTTTAGGCCCACAAAGAGCAGGTTTAGGACAATAAAAGCAGGTTTAGGGTAATAAAGAGCAGATTTAGGCCCTACCTGAGATGTCCACCACCTTGATGGCCGAGGCCCGCGGGAACTTCTCCCTCAGCAGCCGCGCCAGGCGCGACTCCCCATCGGTAGCGGAGGCCAAACCCCGCCAGGAGCGGCAGCGCAGGAACAGCTGCGGGGAAACGGCCCTGAGAGCCCCGGGGGGACCCCAAAAACACCCCGGGAACGGGGGAAGGGGAAGGGGCCGGAGGGGGGCACAGGGAGCTGCGGAGCCCCGGGAGATGCGGGAGAATCGGGAGAAGGAGGGGCGGGAACGGGAGCTGCCGTCACCGGAGGACCGGGCGGTGGGAGCGGGGCTGGGGAAGGGCGGGAGGGGTTACCCGTGCCTGGGGATATTGCGAGGAGCGGGAGCGCCGGGAGCGGTACGAGGAACGGGGGAGCGCCGGGAGACGGTGGGGAACGGGCCCGGAGATGGACACCGGGAGGGGGCCGCGGCTACCGGCACCGGGGGGACACAGGGACAGGGACAGAGGGACAGAGCGACACGGGCACTGACGGGCACTCACCGGGCCCCGGCTCAGCCCCGCCGCCGCCATCCCGGGGCGCGCCCGGGGTCACCTCCGCCTCAGCCAATCAGAGCGCGCCGCTGGCCAAAGGGGCGGGGCCAGCGCTGCGCCCTCATGAGCGCCCCCCGGCGGCGCGGAGGACTCGGAGAGACCGCGATGGTCCCGAAAGGGAACCGAGAAAGGGCCCCGGCCTGAGCCCACAAAATTCCCCCTCCTGAACCCACAAAATTCCCCCTCCTGAGCCCACAAAATTCCCCCTCCTGAACCCACAAAATTCCCTCTCCTGAGCCCACAAAATTCCCCCTTCTGAACCCACAACATTCCCCCTCCTGAGCCCACAAAACTCCCTCTCCTGACCCCACAACATTCCCCCTCCTGAACCCACAAAATTCCCCCTCCTGATCCCACAAAATTCCCCCTCCTGACCCCATAAAAAGCTCCCTCCTGACCCCAAAAAAGGCCTGTCATCACTCCATAAAAAGGCCCCTCATGACCCCAAAAAAATTCCCCCTCCTGACCCCACATGGGGTCTCATCCTGACCCCAAAAAATCCCCTCCTGACCCCATAAAAAACTCCACCCTGACCCCATAAAAAGCCCCATCATGACCCCATAAAAAGCCCCCTCCTGATCCCATAATGGATCCCCTCCTGATCCCACAAAAGGCCTCATAGTGACCCTACAAATGGCTGAACCCTGACCTCACAAAAAGCCCCCACCTGACCCCAAAAAAGCCCCCTCTTGACCCCTCAAAAGGTCCCATGCTGATCCCAAAAATCCCCACCCTCACTCCACAAAAAGCCCCCACCTGACCCCAAAAAAAAGCTCCCACTTGTCTCCACAAAAAGTCACTCCTGACCCCATAGAAGGCATCATCCTGACCCCAAAAAAGACCCCGTCCTGACCCCAAAAAAGTCGCATTCTTCCCCCCACTCCATTCCCATATCCAGGGTCCCATTCCGACCCCCAAAAGGATCCCAAAAAGATTTCATCCCCCTCTCATCCCATAGATAGAGCCCCCATCCTGACCTACCCCCAAAGGACCCCAAATTCCCATATCCAGAGCCCCCAATTCCAAAAACCCCAACCCCAAAAACTCCAAAAACCCCAATCCTGCTCTCAATTCCCATTCCCAGATCCCCCAATCCCACAAACCCAAATCCCAAAAACCCCAACCCCAAAAACCCCAAGAACCCCAACCCCAAAACCTCATACCCCAATCCCAAAACCCCAAAAAAATCCCAATCTCAAAACCCCAATCCTGCCCCAAATTCCCACACCCAGACCCCCCCAATCCCAAAAACCCCAACCCCAAAAACCCCAAGAAACCCAATCCCACAGAAATTGCAGCCGAGCCTGGTGTTGAGTGCAAAAAATAAATATAAAATTTATTAAAACACCCACAATATTTTAAAGGTATCGGGAATAATAACACAGCCCAACTCAGAATAAAATACAAATTAAAAATAAACAACAACAGAACAAAAAAA